CAGGGCAGACAGGTGCTCCTGGACCGAGAGCAGAGCAATTGCAACAGCAGCTGGAGTCCCGAGACCTCATGCACTGGGTGCCTTGACCCTTGCCTGCGGGTGTCTTGCTCGGCCCCACCTATTTTTCATGGTATCAGGAACTGAACCTAGGGGTTTACATGTGTCGGGCAAGTAACCTACCACTGAGCTACATTCCAACCCTCTCTTTAATTTTCGTTTTAATTAATTATTGGTTGTTTTCTTTGAGACAGGGTCTCATGGTAACCCGGCCGGGCTTGGAACTTACTCTGTAGCTGAGGCTGGCTTTGGATTCGTGGCTATTCTCTCTTACCTCTTCCACCTACGGAGTGCTGGGACCACGGGTGTGAGCCATCAAGGCTGCTTCTTCCCTTTGAGACAGGCAGGTGTCAGCCAGTCACCCAGGCTGACCTCAAATTCACTCAGTAGCAGGCTTGGAAATGGTGATCCTCCTGCCTCAGCTTTTCAAGTAGCCGGAGTGACAGACACATGCTACCTAGATTAGACCTTTCTCTCCCCTCTTCTCTTCAAAGTACTGGAGATGGAGCCCAGAGCTATGCAGGCTAGGCAAGCGCTTTGCCACTGAGTGTCCCTTATCCCTGACTTTTACCATCATCTGCTGAGCCACAGGCTCTGAGCCTGTTCATTCTCTGTGCCTGGTTCCTCAGAGTGTCCATGCCCATTCCATGTCTCCTTGCCTGCTTCTTTCTTGGAGCCCCCTCCCCTCCAGTCAGGCCCCTCCCACCGAAGCAGCCCTTGCCTCAGCCCATCTCACCGGGCCCAGGCTGGCCTCGAACTTGCTGAGTAGCCAAGGACACCTTTGAACTCCTGATCCTCCTGCCTCCACCTCTCAAGTGCCCGAGTCACAGGGGCGCCCTACCACAAACAACTCATGTCTACTTTCATTTCCCGCTTTGTAGCCTGAATGCCACTTAACAAGGAAATGGGGGACAGAATGAAGAACGGTGTGATGGACGTGTGCCCCTGGGTAAAGACTGACAGGTGGGGGGTGGGGGACGAAACACATTCTAGAGAAGGGAGGAGGCAGGCAAGCCTCAGTGCCCTGTCTGGTGGCCTCCATCCAGAGCCACTGTGGTCTTGTCGAGCTTTGTTTGTGGTGTGTGTCTAAGCCAGAGGACATCCTCAGGCGGCATCCACCTGCCTCCTTTGAGACAAGGAGCACTCATGAGTCTCCAGCACACTAGTTAGGTGAAACCTGCTGCCAGGGAACCCCAGCGATTCTGTCTCTGTCTCTCCAGTGCTAGGGTTGAAGGGACCAGCTCCCCTTTCGACAGTCATAGCGGCTGAACACATGCTTGTTTGACCTTGTCTTAGTCACTAGAAAGTCAGATGCCTGCCTCGTGGCAAGGAACCAATCAGAAGTTAGCTGGTGGCGCTATGCTTTACGGCTCTGGGTGTACTTTACGGACAAGCACA